GGGAGGAGGAGGAGGAGGAGGAGGAGGAGAAGGAGAAGGAGAAGGAGAAGGAGAAGGAAAAACCTTTTTTTTACGCAGACTCGACCAGTTTGCTTGTTAGTTCATTTTAAATCCGTGATTATGACTGCTAACGAGAGTGTTTCGAAAGACGTGAGGAGTGTACAATAATAATACAATGCTCTCAGAAAATCGTGGGCCAACTTATCCTCAAATATTTCTTTAACGGGTAAGTCAGTGGCACCTATATATTGCACAGCAGTTTGTATTAATATGTCTCAACGTAATCACATTTTTTTCACACAACAATTAATGCAATCTTTATCGTGTTGGTCATAAATGTAACCGTTATAATTAATGACCAGTATGATAAAAATTGAATCAACCAACAAGTTTGAAAAATACCAACATAGATTGAGTGAAACTCAAAATTTCTATAACGTCTGAAAAATCAACCAAATTTTTCTATTTCAAATCGCCACTATTTGTGCATTGAAGAACAAAGGTATGCAACATTGATATTGCTTTATAAACTCAGGCAGGTGATGGCTATCTAAATCTCCAGATGTTAACTAAATCTCTCCATACAAGCTCCCCTGCGTCACTGGGAATTTTGAAAAAATCCGAAGACATGTTTCTGGGTTGATTCTTTGGGCGTCCTGTTCAACATTAAGTTTCAACTGTTCAATATTGTTTGTGGATTGCCTTCGTAGATTCTGTCTGTCAAAATACACTAAATTATGTAATAATTAAAGGAGTTCAAGTCTTGGGTGGGTGGTAAACATCCTTTTGTAAACTTTCGGCTCATAGGGTGTTCCCAAATCCTTCCTTGCAACCATATATGGGACACCCTTGACGTGTGTGGTGTGGCACCCATCCCACTGGAACCAGGCCTCTTCTGCATAATAATACATTATCCTCCCCAAACTTCTCCAGAATTTTCTCAGCACATTGAGATACCCATCTGATGTGACTGTCGTGGTTTTACTGACTAGCCCTCTAACCAGACTGGGCCGATCACTCGCCTGTAGCTGATCGCTTTTAAGAAGTAAAATTTACCATTCTACGCAATTTTGATTGAAATTTTTAATTATCTAAATCTTGATATTTCTCGAACACGTTCGTTGATTTTCAGATTTACAAGTTTGACGTTCCCCTCTAGCTGAATTCTATCTATTAGAAGTTTTGTTGAAGTTAGTGAACAGGCAAAGAGGTTATAAATAGAACTGGAGATCTCAGCTGTGATGAAACCCAGGTAAAAAAGCGGCGCCATCTTCGGGAGGATTAGAAAAAGCACTGTCACGCTGCACGTCCCTCCTCGCAAGTCGTATAGGTCTTCATAAAGTATGAAACATTGAGCACACAGTGAGCACTTTGTTCAGTTTATTTTACTTTATCAAGTTTGCTTTTTGTTGCTGTTGTTGTTTAGTTTATAACATAAAAGCATACACAATACTGCATGTACTGACCGACAGTGGGAAACATAATTGCACTTAAACGTTGCCTACAAATGAAGAGATCGAGGGATATTATTATAATAAGGTATTGTTTGTTTTTCCCGAGTGGGGTGGGGGAGGGGTGAAAGATGACAAAATGGACAACAGAGTTTGTTAATAAAAGGACTTTTTCATCGCAAGGAAAATGAATTGCTTTTTCGTCAAGTTGCCTGCACTCTCCTTCTCATGATTTCAGGGAGATGATTGTTTTCATCATTTTTTTTACGTATTGTTGCAATATCTTTGTGGATATGTATCTGTCCCTTTTCAGTTTTTCATGATGGTGTAACATCATCTGGCAGACGACCTTGTATGATTCCTTTATTATTAGATTGTCGTGGCTGTCTTGGGTTGGAATTTAATACACTATGTGTTCATTTTATAACCTCTTTGGTGAAGAGATGATTGAGTT